CAGCCACTTGTTATTTTCAGCAGCTGCTGACTAGGGGACACCTGGGGCAGAGCAGCTGGGGTGCTGCTGGGTTGGTCCAGTGGCACCCAGAGCGGTGCTACGGGACCAACCGGCAGCGCCCCAGCTGCTGTACCACAGGCGGCCGGAGCAAAGCCGCGGAGCACGGGGGCAGCGGGACAGCCCAGACGCGTCTGGGCTGTCAGCTGGCCGCGCGTTCCGCCGCCGCTTTGCTTCCTCTCCCTGGTCTGCTCGAGACCAGGGAGAGGAAGTGCCCCGTTCGTAACTGCGGATCCGACATAAGTCGGATCCGCGTAACTCGGGGACTGCCTGTACTTTGAAATAACGGCCTTGTTATTTTGAAATAACTCCTGCTTGCGAAGAGGAATAATGCTTATTTCAAAACTGTTGTTTCTATATAGCATTAGTGTGGATGCTCAGCTGCTGTTATTTCAAAATAATTGGCCTTCAGAAGCCTCTCACAGCTGCCCTTGTGACCACTCTAGCCACATACCTGACAACTCCACTGCTCCCCTTCTCCTGCAAAGTTTAAAGCTGGGAGGCAGCTGCTACCACAGCTGCGTGGCGGGTGGCAGCTGCCACTGGGAATTGGGGCTGCATAACTAGCTGGTGCCTCCAGGGATTTTTTTTTTTTGCCTGGCCTGGGGTGGTTTATTGGCCTGGCCTCTGGCCAGAAAGACCCACTCAGCAGAAGGGTGGAGGGTATGCAGCAATTCTGTAGTGTCTGGAGGAGGTTGTGGGCAAGGAAGGGTGTTCAAACTCACTGGTCCATATTAGTACAGTCAATATTTCAGTGCAGGGGGCTGCACCCTTGCGCATCTTCCCCAGGCAGCACCCCCACAGCTCTGGCCAGCGGCTGTCACCCCTTCCCCACTATGTGGAAAACTAAAGAACTGTCCCATGCTGCAGTACAACTCCTCCCTCCCAATGCTGCTGCTCAAGCTGTAATGTGAGTGACCAAAAGGGGCTGAAAGGCACTTCGCCACAGCCCATTGCATTAGACTGGGCAGGAATTCTCCCTGGGCTCTGACCCCATCCATCAGAGAAGAGACACGGGCCCAGTGCTGCTGAGATGCTTGTTCCCAGGGTCCAGCTCAAAGCCTGTCCAAGCTTCTTGGGTCCTGGCTGCAGGGCGGGAAGTAGCTGTAATGGAATCTAAGGGAGCCAGAGCTGCTGCTGTCCCTACTGGCATGAGAGCCTGGTAGGGACTGCTCAGTGTTCAGAGGACAGCTGGGGGCAGCTGAAGGAAGGGGCGAGCAGTGGAGGGGAGGAGGAAGAGACAAGGGGGCTAGCTATGTAACATGGCAGAAGATGAGGTAGGAGGTACTGCATCTGCACAGTAAGTGTGGCTTTCTTCCATTTTTTTGTTAGTAACTGGTGGGTGCCATGGTGGCCCGTATCCAGACAAGCACACATGACATCAATATTGGTACAGCAGATAAAACTCACTCCTCTCACAGATGGAAAATCTTAGAGGGAACACTGGCTGGCAGTGCGAGGAATGCAGGAATTAAGGCAGGAGACTAGGTATGGAGACTCAGGGCAAAGGGTATGTGTGCAGGAGTCAGGGCAGGATGTGGGGGACTCAGGCCCAGGGGCTCAGAGGTTTGTGAAGGCTCACCAGGGCCACCCATAGTGGTGAGGATGGCACTGCAGCTGCTCCCCTCCTCCCGACTGGCTCCTCTTGGAGGGGAGGGGGACTTGCAATGCCCGGCCCCGGTTCCTCCAGGAGAGGTGTGGGTATGGCCCAGGAGACAGGGCTTTATAACCTATGTACATAGATTATTGAATCATAGATTACATGCCTGGCACTATTCTAGGAAAAAAATATCAAAGTAAGTTCCTTGGGGTTTTAAGCAACATTTGTGGTCTCTTGACCCTGGGCTGCTCCAAGTGTTCGAGAGGCTCCTTGCAACAACCTGCTGAAGCTACTTTAATGTCACGGTGCTATCTTGAATATCAGCAGCATTATGTGCTCAGTGGCCATTTCCTCAGCATACTCACTTCACCATGGCCCATGAGGGTGTCCAAGGAAGTCTGTCTTCCACCATATCTGCAGCAGGGGATTCCTTGCTTTGACTGGATACATAGATTTTTGGACCTCTTTGCACTATTCCAGCCTTTTTACTGCAAAAAGGGGCCACACTGGAAGGGTGAAGAGCTCATCCATTACCTTTGTTTCACCCCAGGTTTGATCTCCAAAGTCTTCAGCAAATTCTTCATTGTCTGTGATCAAGAAGTTATCAAAAATTGTTCCAGCTCTCACCTGCAATTAAAATAAAATGTGATTTTTCTTTTCATGTATGGTCCCAGTTAATAGTATTAATCTCATTCCTTTCACTTGGCTGTAAATTAATCAGGATTACATTACTGATTTCTTTCCTATACTCATTGGCAAGATTTTGAGCAAAAGTGACTGCTTTTGCACAAAAACTTGCTGCCTGTCTACGCTGGCCGTGAGTTCTTGCGCAAGAACACTGACATTCTAATGTAAGAAATCAGTGCTTCTTACGCAAGAACTATGACGCTCCCGCTCAGGAATAAGCCCTCTTGCGCAAGAATTCTTGCACAAGAGACCAGTGTAGACAGGCAACATGAATTTCTTGCGCAAGAAAGCCCGATGGTTAAAATGGCCATCGGAGCTTTCTTGTGCAAGAGAGCATCTACACTGGTACGGATGCTTTTGCGCAAAAGCACATGCCAGTTTAGACACTCTCTTGCGCAAATACTCTAATGCAAAAACTCTTGCATTAAAGAGTATTTGCACAAAATCTTGCCAATGTAGACATAGCCTGAGTCCAATGTATTCCACAAAGTAGCTGCAGAATTTTCTGATAAATTTACTCTTGTTGCAGAACTATGCTCCTGAATCCAAAGCCTTGTCTTCACTTGTTTAAAACAATATTTGTTGGTATAAACAGGAATTCTATTACTTGACTTGTTCATGCTAGCTTTAGTCACGTTTGAACATAGTTAATCTCTAAATATATTTTAGAGAGTTTGTGTGTCTGTCTGTGGGTTTGTTCATGAACTCTTCCTAAACAGTAAGAGCTAGGACCACCAAATTTGATATACAATTTTTTGTTATCCAAACAAAGCATGGTTAGGGTTTGTTCGAGCCAAGAAAATGGGATGTGCCTGGAATCTGATTATTTTCCATAACATGGAAAAGGAGGGAGCTGAGAGCAGGGACAGTTATGTTCTGCAATGCCCACTGGGAGGGAGCAGCAAGTACAAGAGATAGTTATACTGCAGAGTGACCACAAGGAGGCAGCTGTACCAGGAGGTGACCAGCTGGGGCCAGAGCTCTCCATATTGTCAGCCATCTGCCATAGGTAGGTGCCCCGTTCCCAAATCTCTCCCCTGGCCCTAGTGTTGGATGGGGGGGGGTGTAGTGGGGGTGCTGTCTGCTCTGTAACCTGGTGTCCCCCTGCAGGTAAGTGACTCTGGTGGATGGCGTCCTGCTATGAAGGAGAATGGTTATCACTTGTTCCAAGCACAGGGATTCAGTGCCATGGAACTAGATAGGCGCCATACGTGAAGGTGAAGGGTATGAGGTTGATGATGGAGTAATTTGCCTTGATTCTGGGAAAGGAAGCTATGGTGGTGTGGAAGCGGATATGGCCATTTGATGGACATATGTTGGAGGTATGGGAATCAGGTCTGCATGGACCACGAAGGAGCTATCAAGATGATCTGAGCCTCGTTGGACTGAATCTTGCACAGTAATCTCAGGATAAGTGGAATTGGTGGGAAAGCTTAATGTAGTGGTTTGTTCCAGCGAATTAGAAGGGCATCGCCCAACGATCCTTCACACAGTCCTGCATGGGAGCAGAAATGAGGGCACTTGGCATTGCACTGGGCTGCAAAAAAGGTCTATTGACAGATGGTCCCATTGGTGAAACACAGAGGCAAGCACTGTTGGATGCAACTCCCACTTGTGGTTAGTGGAAAATTGCTGTTCAAAGCATCTGCCATGGCATTGTTCATACTAGGTAAGTATGATGCCCTTAAGGTGACCCTATGATGAATGCACCAGTTCCAAAGGTGGATTGCTTCCGCACATTGGGATCAGGAAAGGGAACAGCTCTGGATGTTTATATAAAACATGGTCATCATGTCTGTGAGTATGCGAATGATGCAATTGGTAATGGTGGGAGTGAAGTGCCTACACGCGTACCTCACGGCTCCATGTTCAAAAAGATTGATATGTAACATGTCTTCATGTGGTTATCACCTGCCCTGAGCAGTGTACTGGTGCAGGCGTGCACCCCAACCTAATAGGGAAGTATTTGGAATAAATTCCCCTTGCCTGATAGAGGTCGGGAACCCCTCCTCTATAGCTCCTAGATGAAGAAGACAATTGATTTCATGTCTCAAAGGAGTCCTGTGGGAGGGGTCCCTGAAGAGGGAAGGAGCAGGGGGGAAGGTAGAGGGAAGTGAAATGAAATAAATGGTGTATCCTGTACAAATAATTTCTAGCACCCACTAGTTCAATGTTATGGCGTTCCAGTGGTGGAAAAAGGAATGTAATCTGTGGGCAAAAATATGGTACCGGCTTGTTGGCACTGGATGCATGGGGAGGTCGGGCAGACCCTCGACCAAAGGTTCAAACCTGTTGCTTAGCAGCCTGAGAGTCCAAGGAACAGGACTGAGGTGGGTGCTTCCTCTGAGGCTGTTGTCTGGATCGGTTGTAATCATAAGACCTTTGCTGTGGACAGTTGTAGTAACCGTCCCTGTTATATGGGGTGTAGCGCATCCATTGATACGGTGGTGTATACATGCCAAGCATTCAGAATGCTGTATGAGAGTCCTTACTGCTATGCAGAACATCATCCATCTTAGCCACAAAGAGCTTCTGTTCATTGAAGGGGAGATCCTCCAACTTAGACTGTAGCTCCTATGCACTCCCGCTGCTTGGAGCCATGAAGCCATGAGCATCATGACAGCTGTAGCTGTCTCTCTAGCAGCTGTGTCAGCCAAGTTGAGTGACAACTATAAAGCCGTACAAGCAATGGTATGACCCTCATGACTGACCTGAGTATGGGCGTCTTGGAGATGCTCCATTAATTTGGCTAGTTTTAAGATTTGTTGAAATCATGGTTCACTATGAGGGCTGAATAGTTCACAATTCTGAGCAGTAGTGTGGCAGAAGAATATAATTTCCTGCCAAACAGATCAAGCTTCCTATGCTCCCTGTCAGTGGGTGTAGATTTAAATTGTGGAGTTTTGAACGATGAATAGCTGCCTCCATTACCAACGAGTTGGGTTGTGGGTGAGAAAAAAAGTCCAAGTACTTTGGAGGGACAAAATACTTCCTGTTGGCTCTTTTGCACGTTGGTTGGAAGGAAGCAGGGGTTTGCCATATCCTGTCCAGTACCTCCATAATAGCCTCATCAGTGGTCAGCCTTTCGCTGAGAGGTAGGACAGATATTTTTCAGGAGGCATTGTTTTTCCTTCACCTCCTGAAGCTGAACCTCTTGGCTCATGGCTACCCTTTTGAAGAGATCCTGAAACTGCTTCGAGTCATCTGTGGGATATGCGTCCTCCAGGATCACGGCTTCATCAGGGGATGATGAGAAAAAACGGTTACTTACCTGTAACTGTTGTTCTTCAAGATGTGTTGCTCATATCCATTCAAATAAGGTGTACGCGCACCATGTACACAGTTCCCGGAGCATTTTTTACCCAGCAGTACCCGTCGGGCTGGCAGGTCGCCCCCTGGAGTGGCGTCCAGATAATAGTGCATAAGTACCCCTGCCGGCTCTCCCCCTCCTCAGTTCCCTCTTGCCAGAGACTCTGACGTAGGAGAGGTAGGGGGGAAATTGAATGGACATGAGCAACACACCTCAAAGAACAAAAGTTACAGGTAAGTAACCATTTTTCTTCTTCGAGTGATTGTTCATGTGCATTCAAATGAGGTGACTCCCTAGTCCAAACACAAGGAGGCAGGGTCGGAGATTTGATCGTTAAGTAATTTCATGCTTGTACTTAAATGATTTGGGTGTGTGTGTGTGTGTGTGTGTGTGTGTGTGTGTGT